ATTCTTTATAAATACTGTTTGTGTGAGCCAGTCAAAATTTGAATTTATTTTATGAAGTCTGGGGTGAAGTCACAGTACCGTACGTTTCCGATAACCATTCTTATGGGGAGCCATTTCAGTATTACGGCATGTTGTGCATGTAGACTAGACTAAGCAGGAGGTACCCACTCATACCGACGCCGGGATAGCGATTTAGTGGGAAGTCGATTCAATGGTAATTTTCGCCAAATCAAAATTGTCGTTCGGTARGCTTACCTTATTTGAATATGAACATAGATATCTTTTTGGTGATTTCCCCGCCATTTAAAGCTTTAAAATGTCGAACATATGAATCAAAACATCCAGATATTGTAGCGAAGATACACTTGAAGCTGTCCACCATCTTGGAATTTACCTTGGAGCGGGACCTCCTTTGACAAAGGAAGCCCATAACGTTTAGAACCACAGGGATCCCACGCGAACGACGATACAACCGCACACTTCCGAGATATGTTTCGCTTGTCACGCACGAAGCTTTCAGTTTCCCAACACTCTTTTTGTTTGTGTTCTGTAGTCTTGGTTYGACTCTGCCCTGACTTGGAACAAGACGAACTATGGAGGAATAGAAGAGCTGAYAGTTATGGATGAAAACATCTGGGAACCTGACGTTGTTTTGCTTAACAAGTATGATAGCACCATCTATTAACTATGATAATATTCTTAAAGTCGTCGAAAAGCATGGAGCCCTCGCTTTAATGCACAAAACTAAAAGCTGCATCTGTGCCTTTGCGACTTGTTGAATCATCAACATGCCGCATACATTTAAAGACCATGCAATAGAGTCGTTCGGTTGGTTGGGGAGTTCGTGAGTTCGAGCCTTGACTCGGTGGAAAGGAAAGGAAAGGAAAGGAAAAGAAAGGAAAGGAAAGGAAAGGAAAGGAAAGGGAAGGGAAGGGAAGGGAAAGGAAAGACGAAAATAGTTTAAGTTGCTGATTACAAAAACCGTAAAAAAATAATAATCAAAAATAAATAAATAAATAATTTCTCAATTATTTAACCTCCGCCTGAAATTTTTTTTCAAGTTATGCTCTATAGACTCTATTGAGATATATTTGAATATGTTTTAACAAAAACAACTTATATTTTACAACCACCACTCCCCGTACGGGGCTCTTCCGTGAGGTTCCCTCCACGCCCACTACCATTACATTCTATATTTACAACATACAACTCACATGTTGCTTTTTACGGAGGGAGGAAACCGGAGTACCCGGAGAAAACCCTCGTGGCAAGGGAGAGAACAACCCAACAAACGAACAGTGTTTTTTATTTGATTACAGTGCAGATCCATCAACGATGGGSAAACCAGTGAACCACGGCAATCCTCTTCTGATCACTTCTAATGGTACAGTTAGATGGCTGGCTCCTGTCATAATAAAGAGCTCGTGTAAACTGAACGTAAGATATTTTCCTTTTGACGASCAAGTTTGTGACCTGGAATTCACTACCTTGACAAGCGACCATTCTGAAGTTTTCCTGCAACCCTCGAGGGATAAAATATTTCAGRATTATTCTGGTAATATTACTGAAATTGCTGTGCCTAAAACTAAAATGTAGTTTTTTTTTTAAACCAATTTTTTAGTCGATCCAGTAACGACTTTCATTATTCACGTGAAAGATAATCAGTTATTCTTCGCTGTACATCTTGAGATCTGCTTGCCATCCATCCGTCCATCCATCTAAGTCTATCCATCCATCCATCCATCCATTCCATTCATCCCATCCATCTATACTATCCATCCATCCATCCCATCCATCTATTCTATCCATCCATCCCATCCATCTATTCTATCCATCAATCCCATCCATCTATTCTGTCCATCCATCCCATCAATCCATCCATCCATCCCATCCATCCATTCCATTCATCCCATCCATCTATACTATCCATCCATCCATCCCATCCATTCTATCCATCCATCCATCTATTCCATCCAAGCAGCAGTAAGGGGGACTCGCGGTCACTGTTCGGAATACGCCCGGGATTACCCGACCCAAGTGGCATGCGTCCCCCGCGGGAATTATTCGAGCCAACTCTACGGACTTTTAGGCAAATATCCGATTTGACCACTTTACCCGTACCAAACCCGTAGGCAGTTAGAAGAGTGTATGGATTGTCAGTGCCTCGACAACCATGTTTCGACTACCTTTTTTTCGTGTCCCAAAAGATGCCAATCCGTGTCCCAAAAGATGCCAATCCGTGTCCCAAAAGATATCTGGGACGCCTAGAAGAGTGTATGGATTGTTTTTCGTGTCCCAAAAGATGTGCGTTGTCCAACAAAGGCCACATTCGTAGTATTTGCTTCTCCCCCTATATATAGAGATGGACTCCCAAAAGACTATTTCAACAACATTGCAAGAGATGGGAATACGTGCGAAGAGTAGGCTGCTAGCACATTTGCTGCTGGACAATGCCCACGACGGAAACCTGCTTCCGGACATATCCAAATGCGACTACTTGCGTGGAAACGAAGGTACTACCAGTTTGCAGCCGCTAGGAGGATTGCCGCCATTCGTAGACGACGTATTCGTGTATGGATTCGCCGCAGAACAAGATTTGTATGGGCGGGTGTGTAGAAATGCGAAGGCAATAGTATCCAAAATATCCATTGCGGCCACGGAAGCCTTTGGAATGTTCCTACCAACCAACATGGCGCACACGTGCAGGAAAGGAAACATAGTAGATCGTGTGGCCCATTTGTCCAACAAGTGGAATGCTCTGCACGGCGAACATGCAGCCACATTCGTAGCCAAAGTAGACACCTCCGAGTTGCCCATAGAAGCCGTAGAGAAAGGCATTGCCAAGTTCTCCACCTTGCTACAAGCACACGGATATGGCATCTATTCCGTCAACTACACGCAGGATTTCTCTGGTACTTTGGATAGAGCTGCATTGGTGCGCCGCCTGCGGCAAATGGGCTACAAAGAACAAGGAGAAGCTGGTTGGCGCGAAGGTACCATTTTGGACAACACGCACTCGGTGGGCGAACACGTTTG